GTATATTTTTAAAGTGAAATAATAAAGGATTTATTTATTTATTTATTGTTAGTTCATAAAATTTCCAACTGCCATATGATCCTTGTAAGTCTATACTCATCTATCCCAAATACGACAACACGAAACGTGACAAGCTGCAGTTTGACAGATTTTGACACGAGTCAAGTGTCAAGTGTACAACTAAAAGGCATAATGACAAATGAATTTAAAAAACAAAAATCAAAGCAAACTAAATTCAACCTTATACGTTTGCTAGTAAGGTATAAAATTGCATACCCAGGTGTTCCTTTCGTCGCGCTCTTGGCTGACACCTTGCGTGTTGTGGTCTCACGACCTTGACTTTGACTCTTCACCTAATAAAAAATACACATTTCTATTATATTGACCTTATCTTGATTACATACTAGCTTTTGCCAACGATTTCGTCTTAAAAACTCATAAAATAGCCTATGTTCTTTGTCTTTGTCCCACATCTGTGGCAAATTTAATCCAGAGGTTTTGGAGTTATTAGTAATATACATCCAATCTGTTACTTTACCTGGTAAGCCTTGCAGACCCTGTCGACTTCGTTCTGTCTCTTCTGCGTGTGCTCCATCAGCTCCTTGTGATCTTCTATGAGTCCTTCTAGAAGTTCAATCGACTCCGGAAGCGGTTCAGATTCCATCGCTGTAATATAATATTTTATTACTATAACAATACTTAACTCCATTTTTGATGGCATCTAATTTTTATTGTTTTTTTTTTTGCGGAAATTCATTCTGTAACAACATAATTGTAATATACATGCATCTATACATTTTGGCAAGAACCGAGTTTTTTCACTGCGCGAGGACGCGGAAGTCATATGTGTCTGTCCCTTTCACACTTACTATTCTATCTAAACATATTACGAAGGGTATTTCAAAAACCAAGTTCAGTATATATTCTGTACTAGACGTTGCTTACGACTTCGTCCACGTAAAATTAACGGCCGGTCTCAATATGCAATTTTTTCAATCGAAAATCTCAAT